TTTCTTCTTCTCCTTACTGGTTCGGACTACTGTAGCTACAGTAGAAACACAAAGGATACAAGAGCAGCTCTGAATCTCTCAAACCAGGCCTGAGGAGACTATTTGAGACCATAAATATATATTTGCAATTTACACACCTTCCCTTGCATTTCCTTTCCATACACCCCTGGAGGCAAATACATATAGACCTCTTCATAGAGGTCTCCATTCAAAAAGGCATTTTTAACATCAAACTGGTGAAGGGGTCAATCAAAAGTAGCAGCTAGAGACAATAAAATCCGAACTGAAGTCATCTTGGCCACAGGAGCAAAGGTATCAACGTAGTCAATACCATACATCTGAGTGTAGTATTTAGCAACCAATCGAGCCTTAAACCTCTCAATAGTGCCATCAGAATGGTACTTAATGGTGAACACCCATTTACAACCCACYGGTTCCTTCCCTTCAAGCAAATCCACAATATCCCAAGTATGGTTCTTATGCAAAGCATCAAGTTCAGTCATCATAGCATCCCTCCATTCAGGTTTGAACAGGGCTTCTAGTATAGACTTGGGAATCACATAGGTAGAAACAGAGGCAAGAAAAGAGTAATAGGTAGGGTTTAGAAGGCTACAGGACAGGTGTTTGGAGATACAATGTGTTGTACACTTCCGCTTGCCTTTTCGAAGGGCAATAGGAAGGTCAAGGTCTGAGAAGATAGGTGGGTCAAAGGAGGGCTGACCTGTTACCTTAGTAGTGATGGGAGGTGCAAGAGGCTCTGCGGAAGGAGTGGAAACAACTTGCCCATGCTTGAATCTTTATTGTTGGTACCACCTTTGGAGAACAGGATGTGAAGGAAATGTATGAAGATGAGCTGGAGGAGGAGGGGGAGCAGGAACATGTGGTGGAGACACAATGAAAGGGGAGGCATCAGAAGAAGAGGGCTCAGTAGAGGACTCAAAAGGAATTGGAAGAGGAACTATTGGAGACATAACAAATGGCTCCTCATGATGCTCCCCCTCAGGAGAAATACCAAAGGAAAGAATGGACTCAGCAAATGTGACATCCCTAGAAACAAAGTGGGTGCCACTAGCCGAATTAAAACAACAATATCCTTTTTGTGTGGAGGCATATCCTACAAAGACACACTTATGTGCCTTAGGCTCAAATTTGTGTCTCTAATGATTATGAACATGTACATAGCAAGTGCACCCAAAAACTCGGAGAGGAAGAGAAAAGAGATCCTCGTCCGGAAAGAGAAGGCTAAACGGGGTTTTGAAACCCAAAGCCCGAGAAGGCATACGGTTAAGCAAGAAGGTGGTAATAAGGATAGCATCCCCCCAAAATTTAATAGGAACATGAGATGCAAAAAGGAGGCATTGAGCAACCTAAACCACATGGTGGTTCTTCCTTTCCACCACTCCATTCTGTTGTGGAGTGTAGGAACAAGAACTTTGATGAATAACCCCAAAGGTCTCAAAGTAGGATAAAAGGTTCTTCTCAAAATATTCCTTAGCATTATCARATCGAAATATTTTGATCCGTGTATTAAACTGGGTAAGGATAAGCTTATGAAAATTTTTCACAATAGTTGGTACTTCATCCCAGGATCTCCTGAGATAAATCCAAGTATAGCGAGAATAATCATCAATAAAGAGGATAAAATATCCGTAACCCCCCATAGTAGGCAAATGATATGGCCTCCACATATCAGATTGCACAATATGAAAAGGAGAAATGTATCATTTTTTGCTTACTGAATAAGATTGTCTACAATGCTTTGCAAGTTCACAAGACTCACAATGAAAACTCGATAAAGACATTCCCTTAAACATATCGAGAAACAAATGACTCAAGGCTAAAAAAGGTAAGTGACCAAACCACAAATGACATAACATGACTCTATCAATAGACTCTGACACAACAAACTCCAAAGCTACTCCATTAGGTGGTCCAAGACTCCTATCAAGTGTGTCCAGCAAGTATATTGTATTCGCCTCATGGCCACTCCTAATCGTCCTTTGAAATTTTAGGTCCTAAAAAACACAATGGGTAGAAAAAAAGGTTATGCTATAGTTCATGAATTTAGTCATGCTACTAACAAATAAAAGATTGGTATTAAGCTTGGGGACATGAAGAACAGAGGACAAGACAAGTGTGTCAGAGGTCTTGATATCTCCTTTGCTAGAGATGAGGAGCAAGAGACCCATCAACAAGAGATATCTTCTCTCTACCGGAGAGGAGCTAATAGGAACAAAAGAGGTTAAACAGACTAATCATATGATCTGATGCACCAGAATCAATAATCCAAGGGATTTTATGATTACTCGAAACATAAGCATGATTTGCAGAGGCACGAGTACCTGAGTGAGAAAATGCAAATGATGAAGTGTTGCCAAAAGGGTAGGATGCTGTTATAGTGGTTTCCAAGTGATTCAGTAACCTCCCATACTTCTCAAGGCTTTTCTATTTGACCATTTTTCTTAAAATTGATGTTATTCCGAAACCTGCCCGAGAGAAGATCAGGATGGAGTTTCCAACAAGTGTCCTTAGTATGCCTTGGTTTCTTGCAGTATTCACATATCACTTCTTTCTTCTCGGTCAGACCTTTCGGCTTTAGTCCAACATGTGCAAAATGTTCTGTAGGTGGATTCTATAATTGCATCCATCGCCTACTCTCTTCACCTCTTACTATAGCATATGCCTGAGCAAGAGTACCTCATCCTTCGCCAGAATATTTTGTCTAATAATGCTGAACTCAAGGTTGAGTCCTTTAAGAAACTCAAACACCCTATTTTGTTCCACCAGTTTCCTAAAAGTCTCTACATCATTAGTACTCTCTCAAACAACTGTCTCCATAACATCAATTTCCTGCCATAGTGATTTCAGCATGGAATAGTAGATCACTACACTCTTCTCCCCTTGTCTCAGATTTTTCACATCACTTTTCATCTTATAGACTCTTGCCACATTCAAATTCTATGAATATGTTTCCGTAACATTGTCCCAAATTTCCTTGGCCGAAGACATCCAGAGATAATGCTAACTTATATGGGGTTGCATAAAGTTAACCAACCATCCAATAACAGTGTAGTTCTCATGCATCCATTTCTCATATGCAGGGTCTATCTTTGTGGGTTTCACCTTATTGCTTGTGAGATATCCCAGTTTACCTCTACAAGTCTCAGTCGCACACTTCTAGAGATCAAACTACACCTCCCAAGTCCTGAGTGCCACATCCAAATCTTATCCTTGACTTGCAACTTGAAAGCTCTCTAGTCGGCTAGGATTTTGGGCAGAAAATTACAGCTCCACTTCTTGGCAGTTTTCAGCTAGATCCTAACTCTCCAAACCCTCTACCAACTAGGCAAAAATATTCTTTGATCTATCAGGAACTTATCCCTCCATACACACTCCTAATCGAAGGGTGTATGGGAAAAGAGAAAAGAAAAAAAAGAGGGAAAACCTGCTCTAATACCAAGAAGTAAATCTGACTTCTAAATCTGATAAGAAACTTGATTAAAGAAGTAAAAGGGTGAGAAAGGAAGAAGAAAACAGCAGAATAGAAGAAGGGGGTGGAGAAGAAGAAAAGGAAGGAGAAGAGGGTCCAATAATCACCTCTCTCCCCTCACTAATCTTTTTATTAATCTTCACTAATGTGGTTAATTACAAATCAGCCCTTAAGTGGGGCATCCAGCTAAGCATAAACTTAAAATAACTCAAAAGAAGTTAACAAGCCCATAAGACAAGCCCATTAGCATACAAAATAAATAACCTACTACTGAAACATAAAATAGACACTAGGGCCCATTCGGCCCAGTCTCTCTACAGCACTCAAAGGACTTGGATGGAAGTAATAACAGAAGATAGAACATCAAGGGGCAAACCAAAAGGACTTGGATGGAAGTAAGAAGAAATGATTTAAGTGCCCATAATTTAACGATTGAATAATATGGCACTGAACAGAACAAAATGGCAAAACATGATTCATGTAGCCGACCCCATATAGTTGAAACAAGGCTTAGATGATGATGGTGATGATATGTCACACTCAAAGAAATATACCTGTGCGCCACCACCAGTATTAAGCCGACCAACCTCACCACCACTTGCAGTTATGCGTTCCCTCCTGTTAAACGTGTACTAAGTAAAACTCTAATAAAAGAGCAATATGTGGTGGGAAAATGTCAAAAAATATTAAGTACACTTACTCTTCTTCATTACATTCCAGCCTATGATCTGCAGACAAAGAATATATGACACCATCAGCAGATTCAAATATGCATCGAGAATCACCAACTGATGCTACAGTTATGGTCCATCCATCTATTATCACAAAAGTGACAGTTGTTCCAGATTTTTGAGCTGAAAAGATAATCAAATGATCAATTTACAACTACAAGATCATTTAATGCAATCAAAAGCTGACATTACTGAAATCAGATGCATATCAAAGAAGAAAAATAATGTACCAAAATATATTAGAGTACCCCCATTAGTACACTAGAACATAAAGAAAGATGCAGATATTCAGAGCTAAATATCTAGAAGCCTTGTATGGATAACATTCCTTTATATGCCTGTGAATGGATAATGTTGCCATCCATCATCTGAGAAGCGACCATATGGATTAGCCATGTGAACAATAATCAAATCCATAACTGTGTCAACTTAGTATTGTTTGGTTTTCTAAATAACAAGAGAAAAGGCAGGGCTTTTTTTTCCATGCAGCAGAGAGCTAACTGCATATAGATTACAAAAAAAAACAAAGATACAAGTCCAGTTACAGATTAGATTTATGTTTTATTTCATAAAATACATTTTTAGAGCTTAAAGGTCTCTTGTACTGGAAATTTAAGAAACCTTTGTATCAAATTATCAATCTTAGAAATGATTTTAATTTTAGAGATTTGAGAATTCTATGTTTTCCTTTTGGTAGGGATGCAAACGGATTGAATCGAATTAGGATAGGGATATATCCGAATTCGATCTGACGAGATGTATCCTATATTTGAATTCGATTCGAATCCAATCGGATATAGAATACAACCATTTGAATTCAATTCGAGAAAGTATCGGATATCCGATAACAAATCTGATTCAATTCGTTTAATTTGATTGAAGTTGAAAAAAAAAAACAAACATATAAGAGGAAAAAAAGAGATTAGGATTAAGGGTTTACATCTGTATTTGAAAAAAGAAAAAGAAAAGGTTTTATGCATACCTTACTCTTGTAATCTCTGGTTCCACAGAATTGATGTTCTTTACGTTTTGTGGTCAAAATCCATGTTTTTCTTTTTTTTTCTTATTGAGAATAGATACTTCCCTGATCATATACTTTTCTCCTTAGAGCAAACAGATAGTTTGAGAGACACAAAACATGACAACTGAAAAAATCAAGAAACCTAAATGCCAACTTGTTACAGTATGTACAAAAAGAAAACTGTAAAAAATCCTTAGAAAAATTAATACCCAACTTGCTAGAGCAAACAATCAAATGGGCGAACAGCAATTCAGCAAAACGTAAAGAACAGAGCGCTCACAGAGATTCCATGGAAGCCGGATGATATCACCTCTTTCCTCTTCAACAAAAAATGGAAGAAAGCCGAAAGGTCAGCACTCTCAACCATTAAGCATCGATTGTTTTTTCTTCTGAAAAACGATTAGGGTTTTCTTCTAATCTTCTTTCTTTGATTTGGTTGATGAATAAAACAACTCTGGTTTTTGGATTTTCTTCGTTCTAAAGGATGAAAGATGAAATGTCTCTCTTTGTTGGGAAGTTCTAAAGGTGTAACATGGCGATGAAAGATGAAACGACTCTCTTCTTTGGGAATTAGAAGAATCATCGAAAACCAAAAAAGTGAAGGACGGACAGTCCTATTCAATTTGTCAGATAAGGTACTAGGGAGTAGGTAGGGAAGCTTAGGAGATAGGGAGCTATTAGGTTTCTATTGTCTTATCACCAAACAAAAATAGGTTAAAAAAATCAACTTTATGTGTGTATCTCTGTAAAATGCATATATAATCGAATTGGATTTTTTTTTGGATCGAGTCAGGGGTATATCCAAATTCAATCCAGTAAGCAAACGGATCATATTTTCTGATCCAATTCGATCCAATGATCCGATAATATATAACCGAATCCGACATTATCAGATCGAATTTGAATTCAAATCAGATCAAAATCCAATCCATTAGCACCCCTACCTTTTGGTAGGTAAAGACAAAATATATTATTTTTGCTGTAATAACAGTTTAGAATGATGCATATATCGTATTGGATGTTTTAGCAAGTATCTGTGTAAGGTTCTCTCTTATGTTATCCTCTTTAAATTCAACAATAGTCCTCTCATTATTATACTTAAGTAAATGCTGTTACGATCAAAACAAAAATAAAAAAATCGGTACCCCGAAAAAACAAAATTTTCTTGAGTATGAACATATGTACAAAAGATTTATAATCTAATTGAGAAACAATGATCTTTCATGAGGCTCTTTGTGGCTCTTGGAAGATAAGTGTGTTTGTCTTCCTCCTGTAAATTTTCAACTGATGATTTAATGAAAGTGTTATTGATCAAAAAAAAAATTGAGAAACAATGATCAAAGGTGGACAAAACTCTGATTCCCTTTTGTTACAAAAATTCAACAATAGTTCCATGAAGTTCTTCAATATATGGACAACAGAAAAAAAACTAAATATCAATCTTTCCAAACACCTTAAATGCAAGAAAGCTATTTTATTCAAAAATCCTACAATTATGCACCTTCCACCAAGCCAAAAGATATATTTAGGGGTATCCAATGAAAAGAGTTCAACCAAACCTTCAAATAGAATAAAGAATATACATATAAATGAGCCACTTTTTCCATTTGACAGTAAGATAAGCATGTGGCTTTTATTATCTTCCTTCTTCAGATCAGATGATCAAAGCTAAGACCATTAACCCTGATGAAATTGAAACTTTGAACCATGATCCTAATGGTAGTTATGTAATTCGCTTGAAGTCACTACAACTTAGAAACTAGTTCTTTTGTACCGATTTGTTAGTCAATTCATCAAAAATCAGAGAAGAGCCCTCATGTTAAAGAACCAAATGTTGGGGGGGGGGGCTTGTGAGGGTGGATTGGATACAGACCTAACCTTTGGCACTTTTTGCACAAAGTGGCAACTCTCAGACTTAAACCCTGCTGTCTCACGGTTTTCAGCCTGAGATGTCACATCATACCAAGTAATGGCCCCTAAATAGACATCAAATAATAGCAACCCATTATACACTACAAATGATAGTAAGAATCAAGCTTAAATAAACATCAATGGGAACATCTAATTATTACCATGAAACATCAGCATCTTTACCAACTTTAACTCTTACATCTTGACTCCTTCACTCTGAGATTATTTAAGGTCATCTATATCATAAATTGTGAGGTCATATTAATTTTTACCATGATTATAGCAAATCGTACATGATAGAGATAGAACCAGGTTCTGGATTGATAGATGGCATGGGCAGCTCCCACTGATGGAGGTTTTGCCTTTACTCTTCCTATTAGCACAGAACATGGAGGCCATGATCAATGAGTAATTACTCAGTGGCAATTGGCTCAGTTGCATGGAGTCCCATTTTCAGGAGGAACTTAAATCATTGGGAGTTGAACCAAGTGATGGACCAGCTATAACCAATTCAGGGCATCATCCCACAGGTAGGCCTCTCAGACTCGAGGGTCCGGGTGTGGAGAAAAAATGTTTTTTTCCTGCAAAATCTTCTATAGGAATCTGAGACAGGAGGATGACAGTGAGTTTCCTGATAGAAGGATTTGGCTGTCAGGGGCTCCACAAAAGTAAAGCTTTTGGTGTGGAATGTTGCTCTATAAAAGTTTTTGACCAGTGATAAACTGTTGAGAGGGGGAATGATGCTGGACCAGGTGGGCTGTGTATTTTTCTTTGAAGGTATAGAAATTGCAAAGCACATTTTTTTACATTGTCAGTTTGCAGCTAGAATCTGGTGGACTGTAATTGAGATCTTCAAGTGGGTGGAATGCTTCCCACACAACATATTCAATCTTTCTTTGAGGCTAGCAGCTAGAAGGTATCAACAGCAGGGGGGAAAACGATGTCAAATATAATCCAATGGCAGTTTTGTGGTGCATATGGGATGAGAGGAATGACAGGATATTTGAGAACTCAAGCTCTTCAGTCTCTGATGTATTGACACTGTTTTTGTTAATATCTTGCTAAAAATAGTTGTAGTCTCCTGTATAGGCTGGTGAAGCAAGTTATAATCCTCGTACATCTTTTTCGCATAATATTTTTTATCAGCACATAATTTTATTTAATTAATTAGTTATGTGTGGAAAGCAGTACAAATTGATGACCAGGGTGTTACCCCAAAAAACATATGCTAGGATACAAAGAAGCCCAAAACAAATGCTGCCTTGTTGTCCCTTGTTTAGCAAGGGAGTCAACTAACCCATTTGCACTCCTTACCCACTTGAATTCAGCATTTAACTCTCTTCCAATCCTTTTTGCATAATAATTTAATACTTTACCTTTTCAAAAAAATAAAGAATATCAGATTGTGGGTATCGTAATGAGCCCCCACTCTCTTATATAGTTGCTTGAAATATGTGAAACATTTAAAAAGGTCCCTAATAAGGTGGCAGTAACAAAAGACCTATAAAAAACTAAAATAGGCACATGACCAAATCACCCAATTACAATAAGTCCATAAAATAAATAAGCATAAGAAAGAAATAAATCTAGTAATTCCACTTCTATTCCTGCTTTCAACAGGTTGTTTCCATTGCACACCCTGGAGAAATAGGGAAGTTTCGCTATGTTTTGGAGAAAATTGCAAACCATGGTTAAGACATTGTCAATAACCTCAGTCTACATGGGGAGGGGGGAGTGAACTTCAAAAGGAATATATGTGGTGACCGTATCCACTTCCAATGGAAGGAATCAGGTTTAAATCCCACAATAGAATTATAAAAAGACAAATGTGACACAGCCACTCAGGTCAGCTATCGAAACCCTCACAACTTCACTCCCCAAATTAAGGTGATTTTGTTGCAAAAGAAGTGCTATGAGGCTACCCACTTTGTATCCAGTAAGCATTTGACAGAATCTAGGACATGAGAGCACTCATTTGCCCAGGCTTCATAACATTCCAGCACTAAAGCTCCCTTAGACGTTGCCATCCTATACGGCTATACATAAGTAGAAAAACCATCTTTAAGGGTGTTTGTACCACTCCATGCATCCCCCTTTCTCAACTAAGTTTTTGCACTGCAGTAACCTCATCACTCACAGCTTTGAACCAGCCTCACACTCTAAGATGAGCAAGATGCATTTTAGTAATGAAACTTCTCCAACACCAATACCAGTATACCACTTAAAGAATTGTCATTTACTTCCACAGTGGATGTCATTCCTCAAAGTGGTGGCTGTAACTTCACTGACAATGTGGTTAGCAGCACACTGTCCAAAAAAAAATCATCAAATTAAAAAGAAAGAGATCAAAAAATGCACAATCTTCTTATCAGAAGTTATGTATGGATATTTGGTGACTGCCAAGTCATGACAATAGAGTACATATAATAATACACTGGTACCTTTTTGTTGAAAATCCTTATCCGTCTTCACAAACCCTGCAACCAAAGCCCTTGGCAATGCTCCTAACCATTCATCTCGGCTTAGATCTGAAGGAATAGCAGCCAAAACATTATTTAACAGATTCTCCTTAGTGTATATAGCAGCTGCAGACCCATTATGACCATCAAATAGCTGCAAATAATGTAGTGATTCAATCAATCTACAGAAACATAGAAAGGTTAACAGTATAATTGCAACAGGCAGCTATGGTTAATAACATTTTTCATCATGCTGCTAGCAGCAAGAAAATAAATGTATTATCATGCTCATGCAATAGCTTGAGCGTGTCAAAGCTCAAGTAAGTACACTTTCAAGCTGGAGTGTGCATTAGTACACTGTACTCTTCTTGCTTGTTGCCCTTACATTTTCTTCACAGGAGTGTGCAAGATAGAAGAGAGCATAGTTTTCTATGAAACAACACTAGTAGGAATAATTGCTGAAACATATCTAGCAAGATACTATGAAGTGCCCACATAGGAAGCAACTTAGCCATTAGACCAATAGCTAGAACTTGGATGCACAGCTTCAGAAAGGAATGATTTTTTATTGGAAATTGTAACTTTCATTAAGGAAATTATGGAAATACAACTGTCAACCACCCAGAACTAGGTGTTGACCCCAAAATAAACAAATTACAACACAGCCCAGAACAAATTCTCCCTAGAAGCCCCTTCTTTTACCAAAGTGTCAGCTAAACTATTCACTGATCTCCTGATTCATCTAAAAGAAACCCCGATCTCCCTTGCTAAATAATTGATTTCCCTTACAAATTGTCTAAGTGCCCAGATCCCCTAACAGTTATTTTGCATCCAGTCAATGACCATCACTTTGTCTCTTAATGAGTCCCCCACTCCTAAAGGTCCTGAATAAAAAGCTATCAGTCTGCCTTCACCATCTATGAAAGCTCCCCACCAACAAAGGAATGTTGTTTTCTGTATTGGAGCAAAATGACACCAGAAATGTGGTTGAAACAACAAGAATCATGGGCCCCAAGATAATATTAGATGATCAAGCAAATACAGGAGTCGTTGATTAAAAAAATTGAGAATTGGATATGTTCACATTGAAATAGTAAGAAATGATTTGTTACAAGGACATGGTCAGGAGTGGTAAGAAATGATTTAAGCACTAATAATTTAACAGTGGATATGGCTTTAAATAGAACGGATTGGTGAAAAAGGATTCATGTAGCTGACCCCATATAGTTGGGACAAGGCATGGATGAAGTTGATGATGATGATGAGATATGTTCAATATCTCCTAGGGATTGACCAAGACTTTCTAGTTACCCAACAAAAGCTGCTTCCCCACATAACAGCATCCATAATTGTCCAGTGATTGTTAAACCCTTCCACTCTAATTCTATGTATAAATCTGCAACTCCTGCACTTTAAATAATGCACATTGTGTAGAATGTGTTCAATAATGGCTAAAAAATTAAGAATACACCATAATCAGGTAGTCTGTGTACTCTATGTCTAATTCTTGCACCATTTGGTGAAAACTCTTCAACAACCACGTACTACTTTTTTTATCTTAGTGGTATTTTCTTTTTTATTAGCATGAAAAAATATCTAATTCTTGCACCATGTCATTCCATATCCAGTCAACCCCTCCCAAGATCCCAGCTTGCCGTGATCGACATTGGATCCATCACCACTGTTTCATGGCATCACTGAACCCCAGAGTTTCTAACCCCGAGTATTGTTCTTTCAAGCCGCAAACATCTCTCTTGTTGAACCTTCCAAACCATTAAAGATGACTGTGTATGTTTGTTACTTCATCTTTCTCTTGCGTTTTGTTCCCTTTTGGGTTGGAGGGTGTAATAGACAGCAGTAATAATAAAAGGAAAATAATCATGTCATCAAAAGAATTTCAGAAATCAAAGAATGATCTACAAGCATGAAGAAAAGTCACCATAAAGACTATAAACGTACTCCAAAGACTGAGAATGTCGTAACCCCATCTCCTGGTACTCTTTCGCATTCTGTCTTTAATAATGTAAAGTCCTCCCCCTTTTTGCTCTGGTTGGCCTGACCGTGCACAATTTCTGGTTTCTCGATCTTCTCATTAGACAATTCACGCTTGAGCAAAACTGCTAGCGGCACCATTTGACGTTCATTCTTCGCGGACATCGTTCTCACCCTAAATCAGAAAAAGTTCCCTCCTTGTAGAAGTTGTTCTGCTCTAGTCCTCCATGCCTCGAAATTCAATCAAACTATAGACTCAACAGAGGCCTGGAACAACGAAGTAAGCAACAGAATTTTACACGACCGGAACCTCTCATATCGTCAACATTCTTGTAAACTTTCTTTCTTTTCTTTTTTATTTTTCTTTTTCTTCCCTCTTTATTCAATCTTCACATTCAAAAATGAATAAAAGTAATTTGACCGACCGAGTCAAAAAAAGATAAAGGAATTGAAGCAGAAAATACAGAAATTAACCCAGATTATCAATGTACCTGTAACGATAACAAAAACTAGAACAGTATAATGTATATAAACTAAAAATGGGAACACGACTTGAAAACAAAATAATCCGACGATCAAACAAGAATCCAAGATCCAAACAATAGACCAAACACAATCTGTAGAACGGAAAAGAAAATGCAAGGCAGATTCTGATCAATTAAGTCAATGCGAATAATATCAAATCCGTGGAAACAAGATTCGTTGTCGGAGAATTCCTGAAACCGATAAAATAACGAGCTCAATAATAACAGGAAAAAATCAGCGAAAATGAAAATTGGAAAAATATTAAATTCCTCACTGGACTAGAGATTCGTCGTGATGGTTGTTAGCCGCGAAGGAGAGGTGAAGTGATGAACCGAATTTGTTGCAGAAATCGATAGACGCGGATCCCGGTGTCCTGCAAAAATTCCATTGGAGATAGAGAGAGAAAGGCGAGGAGGGGTGCATTAGGAGCTGTTCGTCTCGTCCTCCCCTTTCTCTTCATGTGCTGACATGTCAACAACGCCCCGTTTGAAGCCGAAGAAGGGCCAGATTCTAGCGTACGCCTCGGGCCCGCTCTTTCTATTTAAATACAAAGCGACATTAGCTAACTTGCGCTCGATGGGCTCATCAGAGAAGCTAAGGTCTGGACTGATCTGGAGTCTGGACACAACTCTGACCGTGAAGGTCTAGTTTGTGCAATCGTCCGGTATCCTTGTGTTATCCTTGTGTTACTTTACTTCAATAAGAAACTCGTCGTGATTTCATGTTTTCAATTCTACGTTCCGCGATCTGCAAATTGTGCAATCTGAATACAGTCATACTCTGCCGCTACGCCAATTCAATCCTAACCATTCAATTATCTGACTTATTTTATTTCGTTAACAGTTTTATACTTTTATTTGCTATCTTAGCGTGAAGCATTTATTTAATTTTTCTTATTTCCCGCCATTATTGTCTTGCATTTTTTTCCAGACGGATGGATTTCATATTGGCACCGGTTAAGAGCTCGAACAAGGGAGGCTCACGATAGCAGTGTGCCCTACACTGTGTAATCCTCCCTCCGTTCCGTTTTCTTGAATATATTGATTTCTATTTCATGGAGAAGAAATGGGCCACGTCAACCCTTTTTCCTCAAGGAACGGAGAACAGTGAAAATGTTATTAATTATTAAATAATTATTAGGGTAAAATACAAAAACCTTCTTTGAAGTTTTTGAGAATCATAAAAAACTCCTTTATAGTTTTATTTTAGCAAAAAACTCCTTAAATTTTTAAAGAATTCGTCAAAAACTTCCCTTTTGCCAATGATCAAGACGGAAAACATTAAATTGATTAATTATTTTTTAAATACCTATTTTTACCCCTGTAAGCATGTTATCCCCTTTTTCCTCTCCCAACGACATCTTTCTTCGTCAATTGGCCATACCTTCGAAATTCCATTTGTAGTCCTCTACTTTCAACATCCAAGGTTCATATCTAAACTCGACATCCAAATTTCTACAGCCTTCCATCCCTTTACAGAGGAAAATGCTGAGAACTCAAGCACTGGGGCAAAGGAGTATGTGCATGTGTGTATACAATAGAGAAATGGGCGAAAAATCCTAACAGTGCAAGGTTTGAGGAAGTAATTCAGTTACTTCAAAATACTTGGGGATCTAAAGAAGGAATTTTGTTGCAATGGTACTAGTGTCCAGGACCCAAAGCTAGGCCAAGTTATTCAACTTCAAGGTGATCAGTAGAATAGTGTGTCGACATTCCTCGTTTAGGCTGGATTTGTGAAGAAGGAACCTATCAAAATTCATGGTTTTTGAGCAACAACAGACCATTTCCTACATTATCATATTGTATACATGTCAACAGAGAACTACATTGTCCGAAGAGGAGGGATGCAACATTGATTTCACCAATCCAAACCCATTATTTATCTCTCTTTTCCTCTCTTCCCTCATCACTGTCCCTACATAGCATTGAACCACCCCCACACAGCCCGAATCTCCACCGTGAATACAACACCACCGTCAGAACCACGACGATTGCCATTCCCAACCAAACGTTGTCTAAAGAAGAACACAGGTTGCCAAGTTTGCGCTCAAATCGATGGTGATGACCGTTGATCAAACAGTGGAGTTTAGGGGAAAATAGGTAAACGGGAGAGGAAATAATATAATATGTAAGTAAGGATATTATTTCAGTAAAAATAAATGCAAAATAATTTATAAAAGGGTAAAATAGGTATTTGAAAAAAAACGATTCTTTTGTTTAGTATTTTCAGTCTTGGACATTGATGAAAGAGAGGTTTTGATTAATTTCTATTAAAAATCTAAGAAATTTTTGCTAAAGTAAAACAGGGAGACTTTTAGGATTATTAGAAACTTTAAGGGTGGTTTTTATATTTGACCCTAATTATAAATGTGAGGCCGGCATCAGAACTTCCCATCATGGCCAACAGAATAGAATAAGTTGATTGCTGGATCCCATCGATGACTTCAATCCGTCGGTTATCCAGAGCATCTCATGTAATGTAATTATGTAGGGCCGCTTTGAAGGAAGAAATAGAAGATAAAATCTGCCGGTTAAAAAAAGAATGATATAATATAATGACAACAATTATATGCTGTTATTCTAGTGGGGTGGGGTTTTGCGTGTAAGTGGGCCCCATTCAATCATGCGCCTCCCCCTCTCTTCGCTGTCTGCCTTTAAGTTCCAACCTATTGATTTGACTTCTACTTGGACCACGCGGACAAATAATCCGAAATTCTCGGCGCAATTTATTTATATCCTTCGTATTAAAAGCTTCAGTTGTGACCCCATGAGAGACACCTTTTACGAGGAAGATCTTCTTAGAACCATTGGATCATTATTTGTAGTGGGACCCATGTACATTCATTCTCTTCCAGCGGTTCAGATTCCCTTCTGCTCTTTTACTTCCATTAATATCCGACCCTGCACGTAGATCCGCTGGAAAACACATGTACGATAAATAAACCCTTTAAAAATTAAAATAAATAAAATAAACCGTTTGACTTGCGTATTGAAACCTCATCCAAATCGACGCGTTTAATCGGTGGGCCGTGGGCCAACAGATTAAAATTGGACCTAGGTTGACCCATGTGAACGTCGTGTCCTTGTCACTGATTCAACAGATGGCAGGACCTTTTGGTGTACAGCAATTTCCCCATAAATATTCATAATTGCACGTTGTGAGTATGGATAAGTTATATAAGGCTCAATTTGAAAGAGTATAAATATAAATATATATTGCAAAATATACGATAAATACATATAAAATAATATAAAATATAAGATTTTGCAATCTACTTATTTGTAAGCTTATTTTAGAAAGAGTTAAACATATATAAATGCAAATATATATAAGATACAAGATTTTATACTTTACATATTTATATTTATACTGAGTCTAAAGACTTCTTCAATTTATGTCATACTACAGTGTGAAAAATAAAATTTTCAAACAATAATAGGGAAAAACCTCAACCACATCATTTTAAAATCATTGTAGATCCAGACGGTTGGACAGTTGGGCCAGGAAATCAGTTGGTGTATCAATTTTATTTTAGTCTGAAATAGCTGTGCTATCAAAAACTGTTGAATCGTTTAGCAGTTCAATGACCCGGGTGGTCTGACCGCTGAAACGTTAGATTTAAACAACAATTCATGGTTTAATATATTATTTGAAATTAAAAAAAATGAAATAATAAAAAATAGATGGAAAGAGATCGATCTTACAGAGAATACATATAAGGATTTTGAGAGATCTAGAAATCTCTAGAGAGAGAGATCTCAAATTCAGAGATATACGAGAGAGATCCATAAGAGATCTCAGGTCTATTATAATCGTCGCCATAACCATTGTTGTTGCAAGTCGTTTTCACCTCTTCCTTCTCCTCCTTTTGTCATCCACCATTGTCGTCTACCATCACCGGCATCTTCTTCTTCTCTCTTTCTTTCTCTCAACTTTGTTTCTTTCCCTTTTTCACTCTTATATATACATATTCCATCTTACCTTGTTATTCCAATCCAAAGGTAAGATGAGGTATACATGTGTTTTAATTGTTGAAATGTTTGAACCATTTGATTAGAAAGATCAAACCATTAGCTCAGGCACCGATGGCAAAAAATAGTTCCATTTCCTAGTTGATTTTTAAAACCTTGACCTCAACCTCTCACTTAACGGGAACTAGGTTATAAGTGAGTTCGGATACTGGCAACAAATTTCCCTTCCAACACATTCCAATGTGATCTATGTGCTCATCACATGCATGGGTCTTAGTCTTATCCAAGTGGTGGGTCCTATACACGATAATGATGTGCAGACATTGATCATTTTGAAACATGTTGGAAGGGACTTTTCTTGGCAAGAGATCTCACTCAGTGTAAGTGGAGAGGATGTCAATATAAAGGGGGAGGGGATGTGTGACTCATAGTTCATTTCATATGATATTTAGTACGTGTTTGGTTCTGTGAGAGTCTATAGATAGGGTGTTTATTGCTTTAAATGTTTATTTGAAAAACTATATTTTACATGTTTCTTTCTTTTGTTGTTTGGTTGGGCATTACTTTAAATGTGTTATACTTTCTACCTCAAATTAAAACCCCATATAGTATGCTAAATAAGTATTTAATTTCAATAAGCATTGGTGTATTGGGGGAAATAATAATTTGGCATTTCCCCAATGCTCATGTACATAAATGTAAGCGTTTATGTTTTTTAGTGTTTATTTGATAAACGTTGAAATCAAACAATGGTTTCATGCACAATAAATGCCAATACCAATGTGTCAGCATTTTTTCAATAAACGTCCACGGAACCAAACATAGCCTTAATGAACATTGTTTTTATACACACATTTACCCTTCATTTTTATCCATTTTTAAGTTTTAATCCCACTAGATTGACCAACCTATTCTTAATTTCTAGTTTTCTACACACAGAGTTAACATAAGGATAGGAGGTCTCTTTGGTCTCTCATCATTCATCAAATAAATATGTAAATATTTAAAGAAATGTGGTTAACTATTAGGGAAATTTTATATTAGTACTCTGTACTATGGGCTTAGTGTCACTTTGGTCCCTAAACTTTAAAATGTGTCAATACACCAATGCCTAAACTTTCAAATCGTGCCAATTTAGTACCCATTTGTTAAATGGCACCTAAAAGAACACAAATTCCATTTTGATGTCATCTAATTTTCTTTATTAACTAGTTCTTCACCTTGGTTTTAAGAAGATGATATCGAAAAAAAAAAAAGAAATATTACCGAAACACTATTTGGAGAACGTCGTCTGATATCATATATAGACACAGTAATAAGTAAATCTTTGATTGACGGAAGAAMACCATAAGAACAGAAACTTATTGTGTACCGTTGGGGATTAGAGAGCAACATCACCAACAACATGGTGCTCCTCTACATTAAAATTGCCAGCATCGTGAACATCCCAAAACACACTACACGCGGAATCAGCCTTACCCATGGAAATAATCCCACATAGATTCGAGTTTCGACATCTCTGATCTCTTTCTCGTAGGTCATAACTACTAGACCTGTTTATGGGTCGGGCTTTTACTCTTCATGAATAGAAATTTGTTAGGCCCAACCAACGAGCCTATAACTTGGGCCCGA